GCTGTATTCCTAAGCAAGTTATCAGAAGAGTCATGGGTGGTGCAGATCCTCTAATTCAGGCGTGGTCTGACTGTCTACCCCACCTCACTACAGGTGTCTATCTCCCCATTCACTAAAGGAGCATCTACAAGGACTGACCTGTTCTGGAACACTCAAACAATAATTTTCCTGGGTGTCAACCAATGTATAGGCTAAGTTCCAGTATGTTTCTTAAACTCTGATTTTCTGTAAAAATTTCCATAGTTATATATATATATATATATATACATATATATATATATATATGTATATGTATATATATATATATATATATATATATATATATATATATATAACTTCGTTAATGAAACCTGCAATTTACAAGGAAGATCCTCTGTTATCCAGTACCTACCTCACAGTTTCCAAACACTTCGCAAATACAAGAAGATGCTTGTAGACCTTCTTTGATATGAATGAGTAACTACTCCTCTCCACCATTAATGCTACTAAGTAGCATTTCAGCTCTGGCAAATGACCCACACTTCCTTGAATGTTGGAATATAAGACCTATCAGATTGTGGGGAGGAATGAAGGAGATGATGGCAGGCTTTCAGGAAGACAGGAATCGTTTATAATGTCTTTATACATGTTTACAATGTGGTACCAATATAAAGTGTCATTTTAGCTATTATCAGTCCTGATGTATTTAAGAGTGCAAGTACAGATGAGTTTCCCAATGACATTTTTTTTCAGAGCTACGGCTGAGTGGTTTTCAGCACTTGTGGAGATATCTGAACTTACAGCTAGAATTCTCTGCCAATTCACGTTAAGAGTTTTTAATTAAGAGAAACCATGATACAAATGCACATGTGTGCCTCAAACTATAAGTGTGTGTGCAGCATATAGACATTAAATTCCTAGCCAGTCACAATTGAAAAATCCCATTTGCCTTGTACCAAATGCTTGTTTCAATTATTCCCTCCTCAAAAGTCCATGCAAGTTTTTAAGAATGCTTTTGGCTTCCACTGCCAACTTGTGAGCATTTTCAGCAACACTATAAAGCAGGCTGAATCGTGGAAGCAGACAGAAGTTAATTATCTTTTAGCGCTGGGGCTCCAAAAAAAGATTACTTCTCCTCCTGAGCCCATTTCAACCTGATAAGCACACCTGTGCCTCCATTCAGTCGGCAGTCTCTTCACTTCCCACCTCCCTTGGAAATGTTGACAGCTATTGCTCAAATAGTTTGCTCTTTCCCCAAGATTTGCTTTCAATTTTCCAGAGAGGGGAAAATTGCTCCATTCTTTGAATTTTTGTGATTATTTTCCAACCTTTTGCATTGCATATTCTGCCTCAATGGAGAATCACTTTCTGTCCCCAGTCAGTCTTAAGTGGAATTCCCACTTCTCTTTGTTGTAGTCATCTTGCAGAATGTGTATTATCAACATACCAAGTTGGACCCAGAGCTGGGAGAATTTGTTTCAGCTTTCTAAAATACCTGGGTTACTCCCTAAAACATTTTGAAGTATCTGAATCATGAGGTGTGTGATCTATACAACCAGAAATGCTTCCTAAGAGAAATTACCATACCATAATTTTATTTTTCCCAGAGACACAAAGCTGAGAAATAATGTAATTTTGTACAGTATAATGCAAAGAATAGAGCATTACTCACATAAAACATCACATTGCTTAGTGGCTGACAAGAATTACTAGGGAACTTCCTGAAGCAGCAATCTACATGAGCAATAACTACAGGATCTCTTGCTCTCTCTTTCTCTATCTCACCAGATGGCCAATATATACTATTTCTGCTACAGAGGCAAATACAGAATCATAGAAGAAACTCATTTAATACAACACTTCACAGGCTCTCAGACTCAGTATGCATATGAACCACAGAAAGAGCTTGTTAAAAATTCAGATCACCACACCCTAGTCCCAGAGATGCTGAGTGGGAGCAAGTTTAATGAGCACCCCATGGAATCTGAAGCAGTTTGCTAATAGGCTATGCCTTAACCAACATTATTTCTGCATTTCATGTAAAAAATAGAAATCCAGAAGTGCATAAATTGGTGTGCCTGATGTAAATTATTTGCTTATCAAATTTGGATCCAAGATTGGGAATAATAATAATTGGTAATGATCTATCAGATATAACATGAACCTTAAAAAAACAGAGCCAGATATTGGGGTGAAAGCTGAAAGAATAGAGAAGCAGAGCCTGACCTCTATGTCTAAACTAGTTGGTGGCTCTGTACTCCAATCCCCAGGCAGGTTTATTAGGGTACACAATATATCACTACAATCAGGTGTTTAAAGAACAACTAGAAATAAAATCCTGCCTTCCATAAAAAGAAAAGTACTACTGCTCACCATGTTGCAGCTTTCCTCATTATGTATCTTTAAAATATTTATTTATTGAATATAAGTTAGACATCTTTATAATGCTTACTGCGCAGCTAATATGATTGAGACACCAAGTGAAGACACTAATGAAACATTCAGTAGGTGTGGGGGGCATTTCTCTCTTATAGCTTAAAGTTCTATCCCACTCATCATTTATAGAAATGAGGAATAATCTACGATAACAAGAGTAAAGACAGTATCTGGTTAAAGAAAGAATGTCTCCTGCAACAAGAATTAGAAGAGACATTTCAAATAATCATTTTCTTTCTTTGTTTTCTCCATGAATGTATATAATGTGCCAAACTCCATCTAGGCATTGAGGACAGAGTAAATGCCATAAAATATAAGGTGTCTGGCTTCTTGGAGAGTAATTTCTAGTGAGGGAAGAAACAGCAAGTGCAGAGGCTGGAGACAGATCAGAGTCTCACACTGTGTAGCGTGTTTGGCTCTAAGAATGGAGAAGTAGATTTAGTTTTTATTCTTCAAGTTCACTGGAAGAGGATGATGGGTACAATGAGGAAAACAAGTTGAGAGACTACTGCCACAGTTAAAGATGTTTCATCCTCAAGGAATAAGGGAAGCCATTATTCTGGAACGTGTGTGTTTAGAATGTAGACATGGGTGTACATGGACATCATCTGTTGCCATTTTAAGTAGATTGGACTCTGTGTTCAAATTTTTGGATCCAGAAGTCAGAACAACTTCTCAGTCTAGCACTCAATGCCATACCCGTCATGTTACATACTCCATGCTACATTTATGTGGCCTTTTTGTACCAGACAAACAGGACTTCCTGTTCTTCTTAAATTACCTTTTGTACCTCTATGATCCTCTAACACTAATTTTCTACCCTTCCATCTCAGCATGTTCCTGATTATACTCTATTTAAATTAGAAATCTTTTACATATGTTTCTTCCTTCAGGGTTCAATCAAATGCAATGTTCTCCTGTTTGGAACTATATATATAGTTATGCCCAACATCACTGATGCTTATTGTTGTTTCCATCTATAGAAAAACAGATTCTTGCTCCTTTTGATAAGCATGGTGCCTTGCACAGATCCTCAGAACACAGTGAGAAAAGTTCTGTGATCTGAGCTGATGAACTCAAATCCTTTCCTTGTGTTCACCCATTAGCCATGCACAGGATGTACAACTTGCAGCACTACATGGAAGCCTGCAGTCTCATTGCCCACAACCTCATTCTTGTTCTGCCATATTCTTTGAAAGCTTTCCAGTCTCTCATCTCCTGAGAAAATCCTTCTACATCTTTTACAACTCAGTTAAGGATCAATGTCTTTATCAACGATGTTCATGGTACTCATCCCAGGTGCTTCTCTTCATGCAGAACTCAGAGATCCCTCTAAGATGGCCTTTTCCACATTGTATAAACTTCAAGTATTACACTCTGTATACATTATCACAAAATTTACACCTTCCAGCACATAACTAGTATGCTGAAATAAGCAAGTATAAAGGTTGCATATTGCCAATGACAAAGAGGGCATAGAGTAGATGCAACTGATAAGAAATGACAAATTATTAAAGGGCAGAAATATTTTAGTTATTGAACAGAGATAGTTAGGTCACAACATGGCTAGATTAATACTTCCATAGTGGTGATGCTTACCAGTTTCAAATGCCTGCCGATGTGCAGCAGTAAACATCATATCTGCTCACCATGTGAATGTGCCTCAATCTTAAATATGCCCATATGCACAGACTTAATATATTTGAAAGGGCTTTTAACAAAGAGAAAGGGAATTCAAAAGCTGTAAAAGCAGATAGAACTGGAAAATAGCTCCAGGACTATAATTAATTTCTCCAAAGGGAAACAAAGATGCTATATAAAGTAACAGTCATAGAATTTCAAAAAAGAGCTCTTCAAAACTAAAACCATGTGAGAACAGGAACACATGCACACAGTGGGAGATACAGTTAAGAGGATCTTGGAAAATGGAACAAAATGACAGAAGTGGTGCATCAGTTTTTGTTTTTTTTTTAACAACAAGAAAATTAAAGCCAGAGATTGTGGCACCTGTCTACTATCCCAGTTCTTGAGAGGTAGAGACAAAAGGATCATATATTCAAGGCCAATAAGTTCATGGCTAGCCTGGACTGGCTCCATGAAAGAATGTTGGAGAAAGGGGGGGGAGAGAGAGACAGAGACAGAGACAGAGAGACAGAGAAAGAGAGAGAGAAAGGGAAAGGGAAAGACAGAGACAGAGATTGTGGGGTTAGAGGCAAGGCTCAAATTAATTAAATAATTAAATACTCAGGGCAAGAAATGAAAAACTGTAAGGTTTTTTTACTATCAAATAAATACTCTCACAACCTGTATTTTTAGAAGAAAGGTACCTATTAAAGGTCAAATTCACAGACTGAAAAACCCCTACTATGGTACATTATTGTCAAACTTCTGAATTTAAGGAGAAGAACATTTTATAAAACAAATCCCAGAAAATAAAAATATATGGATTATTTTCAAAAAGTTAAAACAACAAGTACACGATCAGATCCCTCAGAAATAGCACTGAACACTGAAAAACACTTCAGAATCCTTGAGAATATGGATTTTAGCCTGAGATTCCATATCCATGGAAACTAGGTGGGTGCTTAAAGATAAGGAAGTGTTCAGGTATGACAAGTCAAAAGGCCAATAAAGAATATGACAGCCCCACACCAGACCTTCAAATACTTGAAGATCCAGCTCCAGAGAAGGAAAGACTGGGAAATGAAAATGGAGGAAGAGACACAGAGTCTGAGTGGGGTGAGGAAATTCCTGTAGAATGGTGGTAAAAGGAAACCTAGAACGAAACTATGCCAGATTTGGAAGAAAAAAAAATGAACGACTTAAGTGGGGTAAGTAGAAGAACTAGTAAATTACGGGTTATGTTTGGTCATTATAATAATAAATTTCCAACTCTGTCAGAGATTATGGGGGAAACGGGAATAAGTTCATAAAAATAATCACCAAAATGATTATTATTTTAAGAAGCAGGTTAAAACAGAGCTTCTCCTCTCTTTCTGTTCCCCAGACCCTGAACCTCAGCCTAGTCCCTGGCGCCTGGTATATGCAGCAGATATACCACCTGCAGCTTCCCCCCAACCCCCGCCCACATCTCCTGTGGATCCCACAGACCATCCCGTCTTAAACTTCTATTAGTTATTGTATCCCAGCCCCAAACTCCAGCAGACACCCCCTGCTCAACCCACAGGCTACACCTGCCAGAATACCAGGTAGGCTGCCCACAGACCTTCTCCTTCTCTTTCTTCCCCCAGACCAAGCCACCACTCTTATCCCTGCAAGGGAACACCAGCTGCAGCCTTCCCTTACCCCTGCCCACATCCCCTGTGGAGTCCACAAACCATCCCCTCCTAAGCTTGCTCCTTCCACTCATTGTTTTGTCCCAGACCCCACCTCTAGCAGGCATCCACTGCTAACCCAAGGGCTGGCTGCTCCTCCCAGGGCAACAAGTAGGCTGAAGGCAGACCCACACCTCTCCTACTGCTCCTGAGATACAGTCTCTTCAGTCTCATCCCCAGCTCTATAACAGGAAACCTGCTGTGGTCTCCCTTTCCTCTCTGGCTCTGATTTCCAATAGATTACAAAGACCTTTGCCTCCAACCTTCCGTCCCCAACTCATCCCAGTATCCCGGCATCCAACACCAGCAGGCATTCCTTCTCTGTGAACATACCAAATAAACAAGACTGGAAAACAGGCAACACACAGATACCACACTCTCTGAAAATCCAGAAAGGAAACTGAAACCAAGAAATTAATCACCCACCCAACAAAGACAAATCCAGAAATCAGCTCCTAGACCTATAATCATTCCAAACCCAGATGCTGAGACACCAGTGTAAAAACACAATCAAGCAGCCAGGACAATATGTCTCCACTAGAGCCCAGGTAGCCCAACACAGCATGCCCTGAATATTCCAACATAGCTGAAACACAGAAAAAGAACAGCCTTAAAACAGCCTTTATGAATTTGATAGGGGCCCTTAAAGATTAAATTAATAAATCCCTTAAAGAAATCCAGAAAAAACACAAATAAGAAGTGTGAGGTAATAAATAAATTTTTTTGGGACCTGACATTGGAAATAGAATCAATAATGAAAATCCAAAAAGAGGGAATTTTGGAAATGAAAAATTTAGGGATTTGAACAGGATTACAGAGTCAGGCTTCACGAAGAGAATAGAAGAGATGAAAAAGAGACTCTCAGGTTTGAATACAATAGAAGAAATGATCGCATCAGTCAAAGAAAATGTTAAATCTAAAAAAACTCCTGACACAAAACATCCAGGAAATATGGGACACTATGAAAAGACCAAACCTAAGGATAATAGGCACAAAGGAAGGAGAAGAAACCCAGCTCAAAGGTCTAGAAAATTTTTTCAAGAAAATCACAGAAGAAAAATGCCTTAAACTAAGGAAGGCAAGAGTACAAGAAGCATATAGAACACCAAAGAGATTGGACTGGCAAAGAAAGTTTCCTCATCACATAATAAACAAAATATTGAACATAGAGAACAAAGAAAAATTAAAAGCTGCAAGGAAAAAAGACCAAGTAACATATAAAAGCATACCTATTAAAATTACACCTGACTTCTTAGTAGAGACTCTAAAAGCCAGAAGGGCCTAGACAGATGTGTTGCAGACTCTGAGAGACCATAGATGCCAGCCCAGACTACTATACCCAACCAAACTTTAATTACCATAGATGGAGAAAATAACATATTCCATGATAAAGTGAAAATTAAACCATATCTATGTACAGATCCAGTTCTACAGAAGGTGCTAGAAGAAAAACTCCAACCTAAGGAGGTTAACTACACCCGTGAAAACACAGGAAATAAATAATCACACACAAGAAAATCCAAAGAAGGGACACACACACACACACACACACACACACACACACACACACACACTACCACCACAAACAACAAAATAACGTGAGTCAGCAATTATTGGTCATTGATATCTCTCAATATCAATGGTCTCAATACACCAATAAAAAGACACAGACTAACAGAATGGTTATGAAAACAGCATCCATCCTTCTGCTGCACCCAAGAAACACACCTCAACATCAAGGATAGACATTACCTCAGGACAACTGAGTGGAATAAGATATTTCAAGAAACTAAACCTAAGAAATAAGCTAGTGTGGCCATTTTAATATCTAACAAAATAGACTTGAAACTAAAACTAATAAAAAGAAATAGGGAAGGACACTATATACTCATCAAAGGAATAATCCACTAGGATCACATTTCCTAACATCTATGCACCAAAGATAAGGGCATCCAAGCTTAAAAATAAAAAAGAAAAGAAAAGAAAACACTACTACATCTTAAATCACATATTGATCCTCACACATAGTGGGAGGCTTAAATAATCAACTCTCACTGATGGACAGGTCAACCAGACAAAAACCAAACTGAGATGCTTCAAAAACAGACATTATAAACCAAATGAACCTAACAGATTATTAATGTAACATTTCACCCAAACACAAAAGAATACACCTTCTACTCTGTATCTTATGAAATTTTCTCCAAAACAGACCACATACTCAGACAAAGCAAGTCTCAACATACAGGAAAATTAAATTAACTCCTTGTATCCTAAATAGCTCCCTGTATCTTATCAGACCACCACAGACTAAAGCTAGATAGCAACAACAACAAAAACAATAAAAAGCCTACAAAGTCTGAACAACTCTCTACTGAATGAAAAAGAGAGAAATATGAAGGAAATTAAATACTTTCTAGAATTCAGTGAAAATGAAAACACAACATACCCAAACTTGTGGAACATAATGAAAGTGGTGCTA